ACATATCACGACAGAGGGGTCACGATACGATATATCCCGATATACTGTGATACTATAAGCAAGACGATATATTGCGACATATTGCCATCTTTTTTTGTCCAAAAATTCTATTAAATAAAAACATCTTACCGAAAAAAAAAGAAAAACATTCAACATTCATTGTCTCAGAAAATGCTAATATTACACAGACATACTTTTGATACATTTAGCTGTGTTCTGCTTTGTATGTGTTTTATTTTATTTGTTTCATATTTCATCCATGTTTTCAATTATTAGACTAAATTTGCCAATAAATAGTTTGAAAATGTATTTTTTGCAGCTTTTAGTTTTTGATATTAATTTACAATATGGTCACCCAACTCTTAACAATAGCCTCTACCTCAAGAGGTAGAGGAGCCAAATGGCTGGCTCACTGCTGCCAACTAGCAGTCAGAGGCTGAACTACAACATTAAAATGAACGGCTGGCAGGAAAGTTTACATTTTAAACCTTAATAAAAATTCGATACAGGGCTTTAGAATATCGATACAGTATCAGGAAATGAAATATCGCGATATTTCAGTATATCGATATTTTCTTACACCCCTAGTCACATATGGACTTTTTTTTTTTACTTTGAGCTCAAAAATGTCTTTATCTTTATTTAACCTGGTAAATCCCACTGAGATCATAGATCTCTTTTGCAAAGGAGGCCTGAGCCAGAACCTAATATGTATGCTTGTGGTGTGTGGGAGGAAACCCACGCAAGTACGAGGAGGAACATGCAAACTCGACACAGAAAGACCCCAGATCAAACCGGGGATCAAACCCAGGACCGTCTTGCTGTGAATCAATAGCGCCAACCAACTGAGCTGTAACACAGAAAGAACCCTGCCTGGGATTCGATCTGGCAACCTTCTCACTAAGAGGCAACAGCTCTACCAACTGCACCACCCTGCTGCCCTGATTATAAGTCATTACATCTTTATTTACATTTTCCTCCTTGCAAATGCACTATTTTAAAATAAAAAGCAAATACACATTTCCAGTGCTTTTGACCTTTTCATCATCTTAGAAGCATTCTAAATAGCTAATTTAGATTTTCTTGTAAAAAAAATAAAAATAATCTGTCTTTTATACTAAATACTGTAAAAAAAGATTTTGTGAAAGACCTGCTAATCACAGGTCAAGCTGAAAGTCAATTCTGGTTACAAACTGATCAATCTGTCCATCCCTCATTCAACGCATTGACTCTGTCTGAACAATGTAATGAATGTGTTAAAAGCCTTGAAATGATTAATCAGATTCTTTATTTGTCTCCGTCTTCAGATCCATATTCAGCGCTCAGAGGGCTGCGATCACATGACGTGCACGCAGTGTAACACAAACTTCTGCTACCGCTGTGGAGATCGCTACAGACACCTGAGGTAGGAGTCTTCATCTGCCCCTTCATCTGATCTCATCTGTCATTGTTGTTTATTATTTTTGTTTGTTTTTGTCAGGTTCTTCGGAGACCACACGTCCAACCTCAGTGTGTTTGGCTGCAAGTATCGTTACCTCCCTGACAAGCCTCACCTTAGAAGGCTGGTCCGGGGATCYGTCTGTGGTAAGTTGATGTACTTGATGTGAGYCATTATAATATTAATKTTTTTTTWWTTGTTGTTGGTCTACCTTTGATCTAAACACAAAAATGCTGACTACCCTTCTTTATTCCAGAAGGAAGGTGGACTATGTTCCAAAGCTTTTTCATGTATTCGATATATTGGGCCGCATGCAAGAACATGTTCATTTTCTTATCCTAAATTCCTCTTACTTTTGTTCGTTCAAAGGGTTCGTACGAACATGCCACGTCAGATTCAACAAACTCTTCTACTGTATCTCCTAACCCTCTGACATCGAGAGAAAAAAAAAGTCATTTTTAGCMGYGTCAGCTGGCGAATAAAAGGAGCTGCTTAAAGGAATGAAATGTGCTGTTAATGTCGTGTCTCCTGTGGGTCGTTACAGTCGTAAAAATAAAAATCTAAATCATATTCATCTCTCTCTAGTCCTGCTCCGGTTTTCCTTTGGTCAAATATTTTTAATTCAAGTGTAAACAACTGTTAGCCTTTCATTTATTCAGAAGAAGAGCAGTCGCGCACAGGTAACCCCTGGCTGCAAGTGTCGGAGGGGTTTCTGAAAAAAAAAAAGCATTTTAAAATGTCTCCAAACTTAACTTCATATTAATATTGTAGTGTTATACAACAGCATTAATAGCCAATGTAATTTAATTTGACCATTTTATATTGTTAGTCTACGTTATTACATTTCAAATTATAATTCTAATTCAAACAGAAAAGCCTCTTGTCAACGTAATTATGGAGTGTGGTTTATTTTCAACTCAAAATATCTTCAAACTAATGAAATATAGTAATTAGTGAAGAAAATCCGTCTGGATAACAGCAGACTGACTGCACGTAAAATATACGGCAAGTCTGGACCACTCGTGAATTTTGTTCGTATCTGAAAATATTTTATACGAAAACATTGGTGAATGCCACAAATTCTCCTAAATCACTCGTACGCACAACTTAAGAACAAATCTGTTCGTAYGAACGGTTCTTGCATGAGGCCCATTGTACATAAACAATAAAAACATGGCCTTGACCAAGTAGGATTTTGTACTTCTCAATGATTTTCAGATTATCTTTTAAAAAGCAAAATTATATTTTTGTAAGTATTTTTTTATATAAACGAATCAAAGTTTTCTTTTTTATTCCTGTTGTCTGAATCATTTTTCCCCTTCGGTCCATGACTCAGACTCTGGATAAGGGCTCCACAAACGATTATTTTTATAATCGATTAATCACCGATTATTTTTTCGATTAGTCGACTAATCGGATCATATGTTAATTGAATATAAAACATAGAGCTTATCGTGCCAGAATGCAGCTGCTATTATATAACCATCGTTAGATTTTAGCTATATGCTAACTAAAAATAATTGCTGTGGAAGGTAAGTTCTGCTCTGCAGATANCTTTTGAGCTCCGTTGTCAGGTAGCCATGATACCAGAGCCTGTCTGTATAATGTCTTGTGACGTCCACGGCCTACCCCAGTTACCACTACTATGCATGCGTGTCAACGACAGAAAGGCAGATGTGGCAGTGGAAGGTGTCAAAGCAGTTTGGAGAGAAAAACAAAGTAAAGAACAAAAAAAAGGAAAACGATTAATCGATTATTAAATTAGTCATCGATTATTTTAATAATCGATTAGTCGTCGATTAATTGTGGCAGCCCTACTCTGGATAAGGATGCTCTGCTGCACTCAGCTGGGTTGTGTATCTCAATGAAATAGAGTAGTACCAGCAGTGGAACCGGCTTTTATCTGTTTATCCGTTAGATACGTAAGACCACCAACAGCTTTGTCAGCCTTCACCAAAGCAGCAGTGTGGGGTTTTTAGTTGATTGAAAACATGAACATGCTGCAAAAATAATTGTAAAACTGWCAAAGTTCTCAAGCTGGATACAGGCAGCTGAATTGACCACGCTTTTTAGGGTGAACCAGGTCTGTTGGGTGTCACAAATCCTGTGACATAAAAGTTCAGAAAACATTACAGAAAATGGAGAAAACTGAACGGGTTGAAAAATATGACCCAAGCAGAATATAAAGATATCTACGCAGCACCAGGAGAAACTAAATTTATATCTACTGCACTCCTAGAGACAACATTTAACAGCTTAAAATATATATTTGGCATGATATGTATGTCCTCTTTAAAAAAAAAAAGCGCCAGGCCGGACAGCAGTCACCTGCGGGCCAGATGTGGTCTGCAGACCATCAATTGAATAGCCCTAGTTTAAGATGTTTCCTGGACCAGGTTTCTGGGTGCGTTACACTAGAAGGAGACTGTTAGAACACCCAGAACTTAAACATAAAATCCTCTACAAAAATGTTGTTCTTGGTTTTAGTTTGTGACAATAAAGTAAAAAAAAACCCTGTTTTTACGTACTCATGCAGCAATAAGTGCAAATACCCGTTTTTATAAAGTCTCAACCTTCCTGCACCTTAACTTATGAGGAATTTTGACCCTTTTCTTCAAATAAAACAGTTTATTTTCTAACACACAGATTATATTTTAAGTCAGATATTTTTGGATGGGATGTGGGTCTCGACTTTAACTAGATTTTCAGACATTTTTGCTATTAAATTCACAAGTAAAATGTGCAGAATTCAGTGTTTCATTCATTTACAGCCAACCTTCCTGGCCAGGAGCCCGCTGAGGGGAGCTTTATCTTTATTATGATTATTCATTTGGTTATCAGATCTGTTGAGCCGTAGGGTTCCAGGAAACTGAACTCCTGACACATCTGTTCCCCTGGACTCACTGTGGAMGCTACAGTTAGTTATATCAACGTGGCGCCTGGGAACTGGGAGCTAATTTGTCCCCTAGCAAGAGCCATTTGCCCATTACATCGCTTTGCTCATTTCCAGCTCTGGAGTTGCACTGTTCTGCAGACAGAATCGATCATTTTCTTCTTATTCTTCTCCTTTCCTTCTTTTTTTTTCCTCTTTGCAGCCTCGAAGGTGCTGATAGCTCCGGTGGTGCTGGTGCTGGTGGTAGTGCTCGGAGCTCTCGCGCTGGTGATAGGTAACACAGTTACACACGTGGACACACCGTGCACAAATGTAGGCCGTTGACATGTCACTGCTAAATGCCTTATCTGAGTCACAGATGTGGAATATTTTCCTTCACATTTACACAGCAGCTGCACTCCACTACAGCTGCACTAACAGCTATTTTTAGTTTTTATGTAAAAGAGAGGAAAACTATATTTGTTTAAATTAAAAAAAAGAGGCAAGGATCTAAACGATCAACCACCAGGTCTCTGACTGTCACTTCTTGGAATYGTGTTTACATCATCTTCCTGCAGGAGACGGGTGCTGAGTCATTTTTCAGCCTGTGCTGGGAGTTGCCGGAGCTCCGGCTGAACTCTAATTAGTGTTAATCTCTTTGCTTTGTTTGTAAATCCCACAGATGATCTTCTAAATATGACGAGATGGAAGATTCACATTTACTTTAATCAAATTAGTGTCGTGCAGCTCCGCCTCTCAGCTCAATTAATTTTTCACGAGCCAGATCTGCTCGCTCTGAGCTGTGATATGGAAATATTCAAACCAAATCCACATTAAAGCATTAGCTTAAGAATGTGTGTTTATGAATTACATGTGAGGCTGACTGATTAGAGGTATTTAATGGTCCGTGATTTATTAAGCGTGTTTTGTTGTTTCTTTTCAGCCCGCCTTCTTACCTGTGTTACAATTTATTACAGGTTTGCTACGAATGCATTTCACAAGCACAATATATTTTCTTATTAAAAGTAACATTTCCTTTCTAACCAATTAAATATTTTAAGACGATTGTGCCGGTCAGCTCCCTTTGGGCTCTGCCAGTGTTGTACAGAGAAAAGCGTCCCAGTTGTTGRAAAGCACAATGACAATAGGGTGTAGTGTTAAGGGTTTTAATACTTCCAAATGTTCCTGGCATATAATTAGCTCATGCTTCGTTYCATTTAACTCAGAAGTCAGAACTTGTATCTGAAACAACTTAACTCTGTTCCAGTCCGAAAATCTGTGGGATTTTTCTCATGGTTGTGCTCAGTGGTTAGGCTAACTGCTATTAGCGATGTAAACCAATAACTGTGAATATATCAGAATTTTATGGATTCAAACACAGTAGCAACTAAATTATTATAATACAAAGTGACAGAAGGGCAAAGAGTTCTTCACGGTGGTTATCACCAGTTTACATGCATGAGGCGACCATTGGTGGTAACGTTTTTGTCTATGCCTGTGTGTTTCTGTATGTCTGTGGTGTTAACAAAATATCTCAAACCACTGGAAAGATTTAATGAAACATAGAGTAATTATTGCATGCACATCTACAACCGAATAGGTTAATTCAAGATGGCTGGCATAGCTAACTGACCACAAATACTGTATAGCTGTAAGTCAGTCAAAATTACGGATGTTGAGTTAAAATAAGCTGTTTTAGCAGCTGAAAATCATCCCCAACATGTATTTTGGGCACTAAAGGATCTTGTGAGATCTTTGTTTAAAATTTTGCCAGTAATTATTGGAGTAGACCCTGTCTGTCTTTTTGCAACATATGGCATGAACAAAAAAAAATTATTAAATGGATCCACGATTAGTTGTAACATTAGACTTTATTTGATAAACATATATTTTAACTGTAAAATAAAGACTGTAAAAATACTGTACGCTGCTTAGTTTTGTAAAAGTTTTAAAATATATTTTAACACGGACGGAGCCATTTTATTTACACGCAAAGCATTCTGGGTAATGTCAACTAGGCCATCGGTGCGAGGCTGCTAGCGAGCTATATCCACCCTGATGGTTAATCTTGGAC